AAGGTTGACGTTAAAAATTATTTTTTTTTTGTAGTGCAAAAAGAAGAAGTTCAAATTTGACAACCCACCTAGAGATTGAGGTATACTTCCTTCCAAATTATTACAAACGCTCCAAGGAAGAAAGATTTCCCATGGAAGGAGGAATTTTTCCATGATATTCATTATTGCCAAGATGCAATTTTTTTAAATATAGTGATAAAATTGGAAAGTGATTTAGAATCTTAATTTACGTATATCAAAAAAATTCATTAAATACAATTTATAATCTTAATTTTCTTTAAATTTTTTAAAATACCCTTCATTAATAAGAGAGGGAAAAAGAAATATATTTAATTAAGGAGTAATATTAGGATAATCATCATTAATAAACCTTTATTTAAAAAAAAAGTCTTATATTTTGGAACTTCAAATTACCTCCAAAAAAATCTTATAAAATAAAATGTTGAGAGAATTATTTCTTCTATCCCTATATATAAGAGATCTTCTAAAACCTTTTTTGTCCTTAAATATAAGAGTTTGTTAGCATATTTTTAGTAGATGAACTATTATACCCTTATTAAATTGAAAAGAAAAAAATATAGGTATTTTCATTAATTTACTTTAAAAAAATATTTCTTTTTTATTTATAATAATTGAGGATAAAATTAAAATGTTATTGTGCTGTTAATTAAATAACTAATTTTTCTTAATTTATATCATCCAGTTAAAAATATTTTATGTAAAAAGATGGAGGAAGTTCCTACAACACTTTTAATTGCACAGTCGATCGATTAACAGTTTTGAGTGTAGACTGGTCAAAACATTGCGAGCACAAAGGACAAGAGAGAATTGTCGTCACATTTATGTTTAACATGGCATCCTAATTAAATGACTGTCCTTTTTTAGTGGGGGAGGGGGAATTGTAGCTGTTAGGAGGTTAGGGCACATGGACCGGGACTGTAATAATGGGAATTTTGAATTTTCAGCGCTGTCATTAAGAAATTCTTCATAGAAAAAATTATAGTCAAGGATTGCTAGAGGAATCTATTTACAAACAAGTATCATATAATTCTAAAATTATGCTGCAACATCAAGGGACCAAAACGTAATTAACTTTTAATGTGAAAAGACAAAATTACCCTTCAATTTTTTTTAAAAGAAAACTCCTCAACCACCAGCCGCTGGAGCTCCGATGTCGGTGGCCGAACCACCCTGCCGAATTGGCCATCTGAGCTTCAACAGTAGTAGCTGAACCACTGTCAAAGCTCCAGTGCTGATCAACAAACTGGCAATGGAGGCTGGTGATTTTTTTTTCTTAAGGTCACCAAGGTGGGGTTTGAACCCACATCCTCTTAGCCATCAAAAAAATTATTAGCCACTAGGCTAACATATCCTTTCAATTATATAATGCAAAATTATACACACACACACACACACTTAACTCTGTTTCCACTTTCCATGACAACATTTCTTAAAGGCTCAATGGTTTTTTGTCATTTTACAAATGACTACTTGTTAAACTACTAATGTGACTTGTTAAGAAAATTAATACGCATTGATTTTTATAAATGCTTATTTGTTTTTATTACTAGGAATGACAAGTTTTCATTAGCAATTTAACAAGTAATCATTTGTAAAATGACAAGCACTAGTCTTGAAAATTTCTCTTGATAACTTGATAAGAAAATTTTAATAAAATAACAAGTTTCTATGAACTTTTGACATGTAAAATTTTAATAATGAAAAAAGTAAACATTTATAAAAACCACTCCATATTAAATTTCTTTAACAAGTCCCTATTGATAATTTAACAAGTGACCATTTATAGAATGACAAGCCCCGTTACTAACTTTGAAAATTTCTCTTGATAATTTGACAAGAAAATTTTAGCAAAATAATAAGTTCCTAAAAGCTTTTGACATGTAAAATTTTAATAATAAAAACAAGTAAACATTTATAAAAACCACTCCATATGAAATTTTTTTAACAAATCCCCATTGATAATTTAACAAGTGACCCTGTGTGAAATGACAAGCCCCGTCACTAGCTTTAAAAATTTCTCTTAATAGCTTGATAAGAAAATTTTAGCAAAATAACAAATTTCTATAAGATTTTGACATGTGTTATTTCGGTGGCCAAGAGGATGTGGGTTCAAACCCCACCTTGGTCACCTTAAAAAAAAAATAGCCTGCCTCCCTATTAGGTCCTGTGATCAACGCTGGAGCTCCGACGACAATCTAGCTACCACTGTTGAAGCTCAGATGGTTGGTCTGGTTGGGTGGTCCTGCCACCGGCATTGGAGTGCTGGCGGCCGGTGGCAAAGGAGTTTTTTTTTAAATTTGAGGGACAATTTTGTCTTTTCATATTAAAAATTAATTATATTTTGATCTCTTGATACTACAGCATAATTTCAAAATTATTTAGTGTTTGTTTGTAAATAGATTCCTTCAACAGTCCTTGAATGTAGTTTTTTCTTCTTTGTAAGGTAGTAGATCACATTTATTAGTTTTTTTTTAACAAGAAATTTGTGTCATGCGTTCAAAGAGGAGTCTCTCCCTATTAACGGGGATTACCATCCTACAATGATTGATCAAATATCTATTTTACGCTTCTTTTTTTCTCCATCCTTGCCATCTCTCAAACCCTTCTCTTCCTCCTCCCTTATCGTCGCGCGCTCTTCTCTACCTGGATTTGTAATTGAACCAAACAGGACCTAAGTAATTATGAGTTCAAAAGTCATAATCACACTTGAGTTTTTATTTCACTCGCCATTCGTCGGAGTTCAGCAACAATAATTTATTTGTGGGAACTCCAACAATTGTTGGAAGATGTAAAGAGAATTATTTAGATAGAACGAGTATGTCACATTATTTATGATTTATTTAATTAAAATAATTTAAGTAATCTAAATAAAATTTTGTATGAAATTTTTTTAATTAATTTTATTTTTATAATAGAATGCACATTTTATTTTTTGTCTTTTCTCTCTCTATTATTATTAATATCAAAATTAATTTATGTTTAATTTAATATTATCTAAATGTTATGTTTTTATTGAATAAATCACAAATGATGTGGTGCACCTAGTCTATCTAATTATTTCTCTTTTTTAAATAGTAAAATATACCGACCTACATCTTTTTACTTTGCTAAAATTACAGATATCATCTTTTTATTTTTTAAACTTATAATTTAATGTAATTTTTTAAACTGTTATAAATATTCTGTTAAAATTTCTATTTTGTTAAAAATTTTAAAATACTTAATTTTTTATCTATAATTATGTTGAAAAATTGAAGATCATCAATTTACCCCTATAATCTAATTTAATTGTCTATACTTTCTCTCTTCTCAATTTAAGAAACTTTAAATAATTACTTTTTTGTTTCTTTTTCTTTTTCTTTTCTTTTCTAAATATTGAACCTTAAATCAAATATAATTTTTTTAGTTAATATTTTTAATATTGTATTTTATTACTATCAAAAACTTATAATTAATATTTGTATTAGACATGTATAAGATTTTATGGATAGATTTTTCATTTACTTGAAAATTAAGGACTTCTTTTGGCCAAAAAAAATTAAGGACTTCTATATTTAAATATTATTACTGTTTTTCATAGTTAAATATGAATATTATTGTATATTTAAATTAAAAAATTAAACTTATGATTTGACTCTTAGTTGGATCATTGACCCTCAAACAATTGCTTGACGAGTTTAATGACAAGTCTAATGATATTTTAACTTAATTTTTTATTTTGTAGTGTAATTTTAAAATCTTTTAATTATTATTTGAAATTAACTTTTTGGAAAAATAACAGCGAAAGACCACTGAGCCAAAGTAATATTAGTCAATAACCAATAGGTTTTAAAATTGCACTGCAATCTCTTGATCATTATATTAATTTTTTAAGTCAAAAGACAAAATTACCCCTAAAATTAAAAAAAATTCCCATTTAATTGTAATTGATTTTGTCTAGATTCATAATTTTCTCCAACAAGATCTCGGGGAGCCATTTAATTGGTTTGGAATAGTAGCTCAACTGCTTATCGCGTGTAGGATTCAGTACCACCATTTTCCCATTACTCTGACGTTGACTTTGACTAGTTAGCTGCCAGTTTTTTTTCCTAATGACATTATTTTTATAAGAGCAAGGCTTCAATGTTCTTTCATACAATTCTCTATTTTTTGAAGTCCCATCCTAAAAAATATAAGGTGTGAGGCCCAGCCCTTATTATATTTATTACAAGTTTGAGTAAATTTCTTTTCATTAGCTGTATCGATCTGTATTATTAGATACTTACTTATATAAGATAAGTTAATAAATATTAACAAAATGTTAATAAATAAAATATAAACATTTATAAATAGAACAATTTATTTTTTTAAATCACGCCTATAAAATTAAAAATTAATAAAATTGAAGAGACAAAAAGTATAATTTTTTGAAAATAAACAATTGGGTTTATGAACACCCACGTCTATCTTGAATAGCCTTTATCTTCTTCATGGACCCAGTTAGAGATAAGAATGGGGACCATGCACAGTGAGTCTTGAATGGGCCCAAAGACTTTTTTATTTTATTGGCCGACAGTAGCCCTTGTCAATGTTAGCAAGTTAGCCAAGTCTTGTGGGTTTGTCCCACATGTTTGGAAAAAAATGATTTATAAGACTACATAATTTCGACCATAAATACTTTATCTTTTTTTTCCAAATAATTAATTACACTATTTTTTTCCAAAATGTCTTACAAATACGACATCAAAACCTTCTAAATAGAAACAAAAGGAGGATCATAATCATTGAATGTATCCCCAAAAGTTGCAAATTAGTTAATTAAGCTCAATAATGTTATTGGTTAGGAAAGTAAGACGCTGCTGGTATGAAATAAAATTGTCGATATAAAGTCAAATAATTAATTATTCAACTTTGAAAATCTATACAGAATCAAATTTTGTTTTATTCATCACCAAATTAATTCAACAGAGCAAGAAAATTTTTGATCAGAAAATTTTATAAGCACACAAACACTCAAACTCCATCCACTTAATGGAATCTGTAAGCGTCAACCCCACGAGCCAGAGTAGAAACAGCTAATTATCGATCCCTTAAGGACAAGAAACCCAGTGGTATTTATTTATATGTGTTCGTGTGTGTGTGAGTTGTAAGCTCTTGTACTCAAATTAATCTCTAAACAGAGAGAGAGAGAGAGAGAGAGAGAGAGAGAGTGGAGGAGCTGAGGAGGGCTGCAAAAGCTGCGTACGAGAACTTCTTAGAGGAAGACAAGAGAGAGATGGAGAGAGAGTTCGAGGCAATGGACAGAGATGGAGATGGCAATGTGAGCCTTCAAGAGTTCAAGGCACTCTCCGACCAACACACTCTCAGATTCTTCACACTCCTCGATCAAAACAAGGATGGCTTCCTGCAGTTTGACGAGCTTTTGACTCTGAGCTACATCGAAGCAAGTGGCAGACCTTTCTGTGCTGCCTGTAAAGATTTTATCCCTGGCCTCTTCTTCACTTGTACGCACTGTCGTTTGACGATCCACAACAAAAATGATGATGATGCTCCTACCAGCTACGATCTTTGTATTACCTGCTACCATGCCCGAAAGTTTCAGCACCCTCACGATGATTTTGACGACAATTATACGCTTTTACTCAAGCTTCAACGCTTGCTTTTATCTGATCAAAAGGTTCATGCATCAACATTATTTGCCCTTGTATGCATCACTGTGTTGGTTGAAGAAAGATTATTTGAGTTTTGTTTTTCTTTCCAGGGAAAGCCGTCTCAATCCAGTCAATCCAGTCCAAGTCGTCCACCAAAGGTTTATTATCTGATGTTTTATATTACTCATACACAAACACACACAAACACACACTGAACATGCTTAAAGCATTGTATGTTTCTAATTAAATCAAAACTTATGGATCTTTTATATATTATGTTTTTTTATAACAAACTCTTGTTAATATTGTAATACTTTAAAGTTCATTTATTTTGATTGGACAAAAGTATATTAGATACATGATACTTAAGTCTTATGCTGTTCTTAATTGATTAATCTTAATTTTATCATCATAGAGAATAAGGATACATTAATTTCCATGTAACAGACTCCCGATTACATTTTAAATTACAAAGTAAATGCAATATATTTTGATGTTATAATTTCCCTCAGATAGAGAAATATATATATATATATATATATATAGATTATAGTGAAATTTGACCCCTAAACTATAGGGTCCAGGAATGTTTGAGACCTTAGACATGTTTTGGGTGTAATGCTCCCTTTCAACTTTTAAAAACAAGGTAATATAATCTCTACTGTTAATAAAAATTAACTTTAATCATTAATTAACTAGACAATGGTAGAATTGGGATCAAGAAAATTATAGCAAAGGAAAAAAATCACATAAAATAACCCAAAATTATAGAAAATGTTAAAAAAAGTCTTTTTTTAATAATTTTTAAATTATTTTTTGACCAACTAATAGTTAAAGTAAACTTTTTTAAACAGTAGATGTTTTTCAAAAGTTGGAAGGGAGCATTGCATCAACAATGAGTTTAGGATCCCATATGTTCTTGAACTTATAATTTAAGGGCCAAATTATAATTTAACCTCTTTTATATATATATATATATATATTCTTACCTAAGCCTCAACATTAGTTTACAAAGATTAATTCATTGTATTTATTTTTTTCAGGCAGAGCCTTCCCAATCCCGTCGAGCGAGAATGAAGGTGAGTAAACCTTTCTATTCTTTTTTGTGCGGATATATCTTGCTCTATTATCTCCTAAAACATATCTTTCTTTCTTTTTTTCGTTTCTTTTTTTTTTTGTTTTTGCATTTTTACAGTTTTATCTTCAATTAATACTCATCATTTTTTTACTTTTCTTTAAAGAAGGCCTACCAAGTCTTTTTATTTGAACAATAGAATAATAAAATTATAGAAAAAAATTATCAGAGAAATCATTTAAAATAGCATTACAAATAAAACTCTCAAGGGTAAAAATAATCAATTGAAATCTAATTTGTAAATTGTCTTCTACGTACATATGAATACTATTCCCTTTAAAATTCTGTCTTAAAATGAGGGACAAAGGAGTAATGCATTCCTGACTTCATTTATCAGCTCTATTATATATCAGTTTTCATGCATGACATATGCACGTAATATATCATTTTGCTGATTAGATAGATGTAATGTCTGATTTCAATATCCTGAATATAAAGGCATGATGTGATTTTAATCACAATACCTGTAAACGAATGCTGGTGGAAAAAGATTTCAAGTCACATTCCATTTAGTATGAGTACAACTTAACATTATGTGTAGAATAATAGTTTATGTGATTTCTGTTCTTTCATTGCCTTTTATTCTACTTATGTTTTTCTCCATACCGGGCAATGCCTAGGAATTCACGCTAGTTATATATATATGAATGGTACAAATCTGTTTGTGTTTAGATGTTTATGTAGGCTAAATAATAAATTTTGAATTCAATAGAAAATGTTCAGGCCAAAATAAAAAAAATTCAATAGAAAATGCAGCACAAAAGTGAAGAGGTGGAGCATAGAGTTGATTAAGGTAGTTCCAAGTAAATTATATAATTTTTCAGAAGATTTATCAGTATAAATTTTAAAATATCTTCATTTCATATTTTTAGATTAAAAATATATATTTATTGATAAGAAAATTTAAAAATTAAGCTTGATTAACTGTGGGAGTTGAAACAAAAATTCTGGGCCTTTTATGTTCATTCATTCCAGGCGACAATGAAGAGGAGATTTCGGAGATTTGGGGAAGTGGTTTCTGGTGCAGTTGGTGTAGCAGGTGTGGGCTTATCAATTTATGGAATGGCTAATGAGTTCAACAATGATGACCAAGAGCAAGAGGATGGTGCTACTGCATCTGCTGCTGATCATCAACATGCATGATATACAAGTTACTGACTATTACTAAATAAAATTATCATGATGAAATAATATCTGCTTGAGAGTTTCTAGATAATTTGTTTACTCCGTTTATCTCTTTTGTCTTTTGAATTATTTTATATAAAGTCAAATATTTAAGTGATTCTAAATTATATCTGTTATTTCTCAAGATTAAACTAGATTTGGATTTTTATTATTTTAGTATTTTAGGGCTCTTTATAGATAGTTTCGAGATTTCCCATGATAGTTAGGCTTGATTTGGACATGGAATTTCATATATTTTTTCTCCCTCCTCCCTCATTTCTTCTTCTCTCTCTTTCCCCTCCTCCTCTTTCCATATCAATTTGGTAACAGAGTCAAATTCTTCTCTTCCATTACCAAAAATCTCATGAGAAAACACCGACCCTCGTTGTACGAGTGGTTATAATTATGCCCTTTAGTCTATCGAATGCCCCTCACACTTGATGAGAGTCATAACTCACATTCTTAAGTTTTTGCTTTTATACTTTAAAGGTGTATTGTTTTTTAGCAAGTATAGTGCAAACCACTTGATCCACTTTAGGCAGGCCTTCTTCCATGTGTACACTTAGCAGCCTGACTCAGATTTTTTTGAAAAAATCTTCATGTCTACTCATGACAAGTACTTACTCAATAACTAAGGTTAAGATGGTTTAATTTTTGTGAGAGAGGGTAAGTGCTTGCCTATATCTAAGTTAAGTTTTGTGATTAAGGAAATGCAGAGAAGGCAAAACATTGAGATTGAGAGAGGGAGAGTAGTTTATTTTTAAAAAATGTTTGAGTTGGGCTGCTTTTTTTGGAGTACACAAAGAAATTTTTTTTCATTTAATTAATTCCTGATTGTGACATGAGAGAGGACTTTCTTGATTTTTAATCGGGCATCCAATTGAAAGCCACGTATTTACACGCACATGACCCACTGACTTAAATTAACATTTGTTTGTATCATGTGAATGATAGGACACATGTGGTTGGGTTTTTTAACGTTCAAAGGGGAAAATGATTCAACATACCAAGTGTCCTTAAGAGTATACTTCAATGGTAACAATGAACTTATTAATTTTTAACTGAGCATCCACTTGAATGTCATGTGGAGTGCCACATGTATATTTTTAGTAAAACAATTTGGTTAATCGGTACGTTAATAGTAGGGTAGAAATGTATGCATTTTTAAATCTTAGGGGGGAAGTGTTTTGACTTAAAATTGAGTTTAGAACACCTGCAAACCCTATGTGAATAGTCTGAGGGAAAAAATGACCTTACCCAATTTTTTTAAAAAATAATAATTAAATTATTATATACCATTTTATGGTCAGCTAATAGTATAAGTTAATTTTTATTAACAGTTTGAGCAATTTTATACCATTTTTAAATATTGAAGTAGAACGTTACATTGCACTGCATGGTAATGAATATTGCATTGTAATAATGAATGTATTGCATTACATACAATACATTCCATTTTTAAGGTAGATTGTATAGTTGAACCAAAGGGGTCTTTCGCGTCACAAATATGGACTTTTTAATTTAACAGATTTTTTAATGAAAACTTAAAAGTATATATTTATATAATTTAATGGAAAGACGGACAATCATGAAATTTAGTGTTCAAGCCTAAACACATCCATAAAAGAATCAAATCCCCTCGTCTCTGGGATGATATCAAAGTAGAATAAGGAATTTCAATTCCTTTAGAGGAAGAAAGAAAGATCGTTTGAAGAAGTGGCTATTATAAAATTGAATTAAGGGTATTGTTGAAGCAAAGTTATAGTTAAAAAAATAATTATAAAAGTTATTAAATATTTTATATTTTAAATTAAAAGATGATCTATATTTGATAATTGAAAAATTGTACCCACCAAATAGAAAAAAGTCACGTTAAAGACGGAAAGCGAGATTATGGTTTTAGGGTAGCAAGGAATCTTAGTTCCTGGATTTGCCAGTACCTTTGTTCTTTGTCAATGACTCGAACTCCAGAACAACCGGAAATCAGTGATGGAGGAGTGAACCGCCATTGATGCAAAGTGATCAATGATAAAATAAATTTTATATGAGAAGTTATAATTTTTTATTCAATATTTATGATTCATAGAATAAAAATTAGAATTATTTAAAATAAAGTTATAATTAATTATTTTTAAAACTTAAACTTCAACGATGAAAGAAATCTCACGTGAGAAATTATTATTTATTATTTAATATTTGTGATTTATAGAGTAAAAGTTATAATTATTTAAATAAAAATTATGATTGATTATTTATTTAAACTTAAAATTTAATAATAAAAAAAATTATGTGGAAAGTTGTTATTTGTTATTCAATTTTTGTGATTTATAGAATAAAAATTGTGATTGATTTAATAAAAGATGTGATTGAGAATAATTTTTTAAAATAATGGATAATTTAGTTATTTAAACTAAATCATTAATGTTAAAAAAATAATCAAAGATTTTAAAAAATTATGATATTTTGAAATATATACTTATCAATTGTATCTTTTGGTAAAATTTTATTATTATTATTTTTTCAAATCCAACTTCCAATTTACGTCCACAGACTTTGCACTGCAATACAGCGTCCCGCTTGAAAATAAAATATAGGGGCCCACTTGCACTTGTCTAATTCGAATTTGCTTATTGCTAATGTCGATAGTATTACGATATTTTTGGACCCTTTAATTAATTCGTTGCCTGTATTTGTTAATCTGACTTATCGTTTAGTGCACTTTTAAATGTCACGAGTCAAGAGTCAAGTGTCACATGGTCACTTGTCATGCGAGGCTTTCACCTGCATAAAGAAAAGTAATCACGCCACTTGCAAGACTTAGTTGCCTTATGGTGGACTGACTCAGTTTGGCGTGAAGAATCTAATGCGTTTGGTTTTGGTACTCAGCGGGCGCTGAGCACCATGGTGCTCATAGGCCAAGACGCACCGTTTAATTAACAATGGAGAATTGCATCCGTTGATTACGTTTTAATCTCAACCGTTCATTCATTTTTCATTTAATTAAATTTTGAATAATACCTTATTACAGTTATCAGGTTGGAGAGTTTCCCAAACCAGAGCTCCTCCTCGTCGGCGCCGTCACAGGGTAGCTCGCGTCCCTGCTAATGTCCAAAAGGCACTAAGCAAGAGCCAACTAGAGTGGCACCTCGATTTCAATTTTACTTCTAGTGATCCTTAGCAGTTCGACCCTATCGAAAGATTTCATTACAGGGTTCTTTGAGTCAATTAATACGTATTTTTCATAATAAATGGCAAAACAATCTCAATCCATCCCATCGCCACCGCCACCGCCACCGCCACCCACGGACCTCCCCACCCTTCGTAGGTCGTTCTTCCTCTTCTTGTTCCACCCCCTTCAATTTCTCTCACATAATCGCTATTTTTGCTATATTTTTTTCAGTCGATTGGAGGAGCTTACAAAGCTTCACAAGCATTGCAGTGAAGACGTCCCTAAATTAAACTCTTTGGATGCAGAGAAATCACTGCAGGATTCTGCTCTTGAATTGGAGGTATTGTTGCATTATCAGCATTGCTTTCCTGGTCTTCTCAGTCAATAAATGCCTTTATGCTTTCTTATTTATAGAGTAGAATACAGCACATTGTGTTCGAATGCTCTGATGTGGGTTTCTATTTTTTGGTTGTAGGTTGATTCATGTGCTGCTTGTATCATCGTGGGAATAATGGGGCTAATTGTTGAGATTCCTCTTTTTACTGCAATTGCCATTGTAAAGAGTCCATACATGTTGCTTAAAATTGCTTAAAATTCACCACAGTTTGATACATTTGATGTTTAAGATAAATTTTCCTTGATTTTCTGATGTTATCCTCTATTTTTGTTATGTAGGTGTACTAAACTAGCACTAGTGCATGATATTGCTGAAGGTAATTTTTTTTTAATTTTCAAGTTTCATACCTGATGCTTCCATGATTCTGTTTGGTACACATGAATTTTTTAAATATACTTGTTTTTTAATGTGATTGCCTTCTACGCTGCAACAACTGATGGCTTTAATAACATGTACTTATGAAGGATGCGTTGGCTTTAATAACATGTAAATGTGAATGTTTTGTTGACATAAAAGTTAACACAACAGGCATCAAATGATTGGGTTAACTTACAGCAAAAAATCATTATAGAAATGATACCTCAAGTGCAAGTCATTTTTAAACTCAGCTCTGAACTGGGTAGTGCAGAGGATACAACACTAGTACAGGAATTTTCCAATTTGACTCTGCTTCATTTATCCATGCTGAAACAAATTTGGAGTATAGATCCAAACCTATGCTTTCATAACCTGCAACTTGTGCGTGTTGAAGACTGCAAGAACTTAGAATATCTTCTTCCCTTCTCCACTGCAATGCATGCTATTCAACTTGAAGATATTACCATAAAAGATGCAAGAAAGTTGAAACAAATTGTTTCACACAAAGAAGGACCCGTGGATAGTCCAGTCAAATTTGAATTCAATCACATGATCTCATTGGTGCTTTCGAATTTATATGAACTAGAGGTTTTTTTTTTGCAAGAAATTATAGTTTGCTGTGTCCTTTATTAAGGGTATCAGATATCCACAAATGTGCAAAATTGAAACTCTTCAAAACACAAGGTACAAGTGGACAAGTCGAAATTTCTAACACTAAATCCCATGTCTCAATGTAGCAGCATCTTTTCACACTTGAAGAGGTATATATTTTATTATAATATGATATCTTGATTTCTTTGAGTATCATAAATAGGATTGCATTGTTTTACTATGATTTTTGAGTTCCAAAAAAAAATCAGGTTTGATTATCAACGCCATTATTCACTTTATTCTAACAATATTATGTATAAGAGATTACTAATCATTCAATTTACTTGTTATATATATATTGCTTTAGACAAAATATTTAATCAAGCATTTCACATATGGTACACACAGGTGATTCTCAAATTGGAGACGTTGGCCTTAAATAGTGAGGATGCAAGCATAATATTAAAAGCGCAATTTTCAAGGGAACACTTCGGCAAACTCAAATTTCTTTGCTTGACAAATTTTGAGCATGACCAAGCTACTTTTCCCTATTGGTTTCTCCAAAACATAACCACTCTTAATTCTTTATTAGATAGTGTATAAGTCAATTAATCAA